ACACACACACCCCATCCTAAGAAGCAAACAATTCTCAGGTTTATTGGAGCCACTGAGGAAGGGAAGCATACTTCTAACTACCCCTTCCTTCCCTTACTTGCAAGTTGTTCCTTTCATCATGGAGATGGGACTTCATTATTATTCTGGGGGGGAAGAGTGTTCGGTCTTCAAGACTTCTATTCCTCAGTGACACGTAGTTAAAGAAATAGCCACATCTCTAAATTTTCTGATGGAAAAAAAATCTCTAAATTTTTCAAATCTTTAGACAAGGACTCTTCTCAAGTCTCAAATTTGAGGGTGGTTTTCTAGATGAGTGGAGGTAGGGGAAGCTGTCTCCGTTCCGTGTATGTGGTGAAGAAGGGAGGCCTTGGCTGGGCTCCTGACTCCTACGGGGGGGGGCAGAATTTTAGGAAGGAAACAGTTGCAGAGGTAGACAGACAAGGTAGAGGCAGGCAACTGCATTTTTTTATATGGAAAAAAGTTCTTACTTTAAGACTGAATCACATTAGACCTGGGGTGCTGTAAGATCCGTATAATAAGCTTCACCTGGAGAAACGGCCTTGGCTTTCAGCCCACTGGGCTGCACGGCTTCCAGGGGCACAGCTCACATGCTGTTTATGCGAAGAGCCCCTTGGAGCAGGGTGCCATTTACACGGATTACAGTGGGGCCTCCTGGAGCCGTGTAACACAGCTGGTAGCCGCAAAAGCCTTTGGTGTAGAGAGAATTGTAATTTTCATGTAAATTATTTGGAACCGTATTTTCTTTGGAGAACTGTCCAGAATCAACCTTCTCCTTCGGCTGATGCTAAGTGAAACATCTTTCCTCAGAGTGTGGATAGTACTCATTGCCCTGCTTGTTCCCCAAAGTTGGTCTACTTGTGAGTTTCCCCTCTACCTCTAAGCTCCCGATCTCTTTCATCTCTTTACCTATAGTTGCAAGCCCAGTGTCTGGTGCAAAGGCAGTGTTTAATAAATGTTTCCTGCATCAAAAGTAAATTATTCTCTGTGATATATACCCAACTGCCTTGCCTTTTTTTCTTCCTAATTTGGATTTGCTGTCAATTTAGTTCACAGAGAATGCACTGTGCTCCTATTTATTAAATTAAATATCTGCTAAGAGCAGCATATTAAAAATTAAGCTTAGTTAAATCTCAATTTCCTGCGATCATCATAGAAGTTGCTCATTGCTGCATCTCATATTAGCTTGGTTCAGTGGTTAGACGGTAATTAACATGAATACTTAATGACCACTTTCCTATTCTGATATATTGCTAATGATCCTTACAGTTTAAAGTGCATTAGGGTTAATTATAAATGTTCATAATTTGCCTCCCCTTCTGACTGACAGTATGTTCTTACAGCTAAGAAAGTGATGAGTACCCCAGACCTGTGTGGGAAGAATGCTGGTCTGTGGAGGCTTGGCAAACAACATCACAAATTCTTCAGTTATCTCAAATCTATAGTCTAAACTATTTCCCAAATTTCCACTTGATCATCAATGTTGCAAAAATATCATTTCTAAGTGTGACCTGAAGTCTGAGTGTTGAGCGATAACAGAAAGGAAGATACTGTCTTTGGCAGCCGTCACAGTCCCATAGCCACAGGAATTTGTGGGATGGGGCAGTTGAGTTCTTCCTTCTGTCCTCTCTCTCCCTTTCAACTCACCTGCACCTAAGCTGCTTTCTTGGCAGCCATTTACACACTAGTTTCATTCAGATAGGATTCTCTGACTCTCAAGGAGATGGTAAAGTGGGTGGAAGCATCTTATACTGAGCAAGTCATTAGGCAAAAACTTTTCTCCTATAATACTATGATGTGAATGCCCAAATGTAGTCATGTAACCATCATAGGGCTTTCTTATAGTCTCACATCATCTTCATTCATATATTAAAAAGCTGAAATGATGCTACGTAGATTGGTCTGGTCATTCCGTACATTTAACTTTCTGTGTAGAGGTTCCTATGAATATGTCTTAGTTTAATGATGAGCTTTCCAGTCTTCCAGGGCCACAGTCATGTATTGTGTTCCTTTTCCATTTTCCCATAATGGACTGGACAGTATAGTGTCCAATGTAGAAGAGTCAATGACTATTATGAACTCATTACTAAGGTAAAAGGAGTGCAAGTATTTTAACTTGTTGGATTATTTAACCATACTACATCAGCAGGGCTAAACCAAAATTGAAGAGCTCTGTCATGATGACTTCAGCCAAACAGTTCAGAAATGGCTTGCACAAGCCACCTTCAGGGAGTACGTCTAAGATCAAAAGGGGCATGCATTCACCCTGGCTCTGAGCAAATAAGTTTACAGATCCAAAAATTATCAAGTCAGAAAGATCCTAGTTATTCGTGGGTTTTAAAATTCTTGAGAATATTGTATTGACTTTGACTCGAATCGAAAAATGAAAATAATCCTCCTTTTCTGGCATTTCCACGCTGACTTTAGTTCCTTCAGTATAGTAGGGGCTCAAGAGATACTTATGGATTAATGTTGACTGAATAGGGAAGAATATAGCTCTGACCACCGCCACCACCACAAGCGAAGGCTGCAAATGACATGAAACGGTCTTATTTAATCTCAGAAGCTAAATGGGAAATAAGAAATTGGCTGCTTTTAAAAACGCATTCCAGAATGAGTACTGATGATATAATTTCATGGGTCCCTTTACTACGCTTTTTATTCATGGGTGAATTCAACACTTTATTATAAGTACTAAAGTGATATTTAATTATAGAGTTAAAACTTTAAAAACGGCAAATGACTTACAAGTAGAACATTTGTTTGCACTTGATTAAACTATTTTGGTCATTATGTATCATTTCACTCCCTGCCTTTGAATAAAGATCCTCATTTTCATTTACTCTTAGCACACTTCAAGAAATGTAATTAAAAACTGATGACTAGCCAAGATACAGTGTACCAGGAATGTGGAAATATTTACTTTCTGTGGAATGCAAATTAGTTGAAGATGCAGATTTTGTATAACATAGATAAGAGTTTTCAATAAGATCTCAAGCAATGGGTTTGAAAGGGTAAGCATTAATAATTTGTTGCTCGTTCAAACAGTTGTTTTGAAGCATTCCTCCACTTTCCTGCACCTCAGAAGAATGATTTACTCATATTAGATTGCCAGTTTTATTAAAAAGCCATTCCATTGAGTATCTTAAGACTTAATTTAGTGAAAGTTTTTTTAAAAAATAATTTCCTATTTACATCATTCAGATCCATTTAACTTGAGTATTTTGTCATGTAGAGTAATAACTCATCAATCCGTTAGTGCAACTTTTCCTAATGTTACTTTTGTTAGTCCTATGAAATGTGCTATTTTGAATCCCTGAAATGTTATAAGCCACCAGATTGCTAATTGCTTTGGATGCTGTGAAAAATAATTACTCCACATTATTTTTGATATTTAATTGACAGTATAATGCATTTAACTAAAGACCTACAATAAACTATTTCTAATTACTGAGGGTGGTGGAGTGGAAAACTAGGCTGTAAAACTTAACAAGGAAACGATGTTTTCTTCATTACATTAAAAGTCGTTGTTGGTATAACTTTTTCAGAGACAAAAAAAAAAAAAATCCCCCAAATGGGAAGTTCTGGAAAGCTAGAAAGAGTTGTGGAATAGTTTTACTCATGATCTAGTAAGGAGAATTTTTTTAAATTATCATTTTAGTAGATTTCACTCGTGATGGATGTCATATACTAAATTTACCATGCTAGCACTAAAATTTCTCCCTCTTTAGTTGGCAGAACTTTATGAGGGAGATAATCGGGCCACTGCCAGAAGGAGTGATTTTTATCACTGGCCTGTGTTCAACACATTCTGCATCTGTAGGACATTCAGCTGAAAAGCAATGCCAAATTTTAGATGCCATTGAAATATGTAGATGTATCAGGAGCTGGATCTGTTCTTGGCTCCCAAGAGAGGAACTTTTTGTTAGAAACTGATCCTTGCAAATAACACTTAGAACCCAATGCGAGGAATTCCCACCGCCTCGAAGTGTCACAAATGGGGGCGTAAAACGTCAGGTCCTTTGAGTAGCTGTGTACTGTTTCCATTGCCGCGTGGCTCTGAGCTTATTCATAATCAGCAGTGTTCTTTTACTCCTCCGCATCACCCCCGGTAAAATGAAATGTCTCCACTGGTTATTTCATTAAATTGCTTATTTAATTTCATCTTGTAGATTTTTTCCAAAAACAGACAACTGCAACAAGTGACCTGTTTCAGGGAATGTAAATTATTTTCAGAATTTCAGAAATTGAAAAGGGATAAGAGGAAGGAGAAAATGCTGGGCTGGTGTGAAGCGATAGCCCGTAACCCTCGCAGGATCCCCAACAGCACGCGGACCCCCGAGGGCTCGGAGGAGTGGGCGGACGCCGCGCAAACGTCCACACTGGTGAGTGCAGCCATCGCCCCGCGAGTGGCTTGTGCGCGAATGGATGCTGAGGGAACGGGGAGGGAGGGCTCTCTAAGGAAACACGACTCTGCTTTACAAAAGTCCTTGCACAGATGCTACAGTGTTCCTATAGATGCAGTTTAACTAATGGGTATTAATAAATACAGCTTCATTTCCTACCGTTTAGAGTTCAATTCAGAATTAAAGAACAATGTCTTTTTCTTTCTGTTTCTTCAGACATCGCCCTTCCATTATGTCAGTGACCTTAGAGGGATAGTTAATGTTTCCATCTTCGATTCTATGTTTTGTAGTGGAATCAATGGAGGAAAACAAGCAGAGTTATCCAAAAATAATGCCTGCGTGCTGTGTTTTCCTGTATAGATTCAAAAAAATCTCTGAAAAAGGAAATCAGAAATTTTCATTTTCATATAAAATTGTGAATCAAATAATTACAAAAATGATTTGCAGACCAAATCAATGGTATGTTCTTTCTTGTCTTGTTTTCAGTTTACATTAGTTATATTTTAATTACTGATTTGCCATTTTTTTTGAGAACATAAGCATTTTCATTAGCCTGATCTATCCGTTGATGAACATATAATTAAGTATAAACGAAGACTTTTGGTTAATTGTTTACTTTTGAGTTATTCGATAATTTCTATTATTTTACGTAGAAACTATGATCTTGAGCAAACATAATTAAGTGAATTTCAGGAGAAATCATTGGAAGGACTAGGCGTAGAAGTGGGAATCCTGCTTAATTCTATTGTCTTAGACTGTTGGGAGAGGGCTAAGGGTATGAAGAGATCATGCGATGTGATTGGACAAAGTTCTAGGGACAACATTCTCTGAAACTACTGTCTGCAACGTTGCATCTCACTCTGATACGATCTTCCGTAAATTACTATTTTCAGTAAAACCACTTGGCATGAGTTAACACCATTGAAACGCATCTTTTGCACAACATTTCTACATAAAGCTGGACCTCGTAGGTATCACACAATAACTAAAATTTGAAAAAAAAAATGTTACTCCTGTGCTCTCATTAGAGTGGCTTTAGTGCTTAAATTCCTATTTCATAGAACCATATGTCAAAACCATAAAAGTCTCGAACAAACATTTGGATTGGCTTTCTCTTATAATTTTGGGTAATCTAATATTAGCTTCATTTTACAAGTGCATACTATGACCCAGAGAAATTAAGTGACTTTCCCAGTGTCACTTAGCTAGTAAATGTCACTTCTAAGATTGCTAGAATCCTGGCTTCTCAAGGCAAGGCCTTTTCTGCTACACTACACTGTCTCACTTTCTTAATGACATTTCTTTCCATTCAAATACTTTTAGTAAAAAGAAAAAGACATCAGTTACCAACTTAATTAAATCCAGTAATTAATCTAATTTTAAAATCTAATGCTGTATCGAGACAATAACCTCCAGCCACTGTAAACGATTTGCAGACCAAATCAATAATACACTTTCTTGTTTTGTTTTAAATTGACGTGTTAAATTTTAATTACTGTTTTACCATTTGATAAGAACACAAGAGCTTTCATCAGCCTGATTTATTTATTGATGAACACATAATTAAATATAAGCAACAGTTTTCTGTTTATTTTTTTACTTTTATTTGATAATTTCTATTACTTTACATAGAAACAGTGATCCTGAGCAAACATCATTGAGTGAATTTCAAGAGAAACTATTGCAAGGATTAGGTTTTCAACTGACAAAACATAGACATGAAAATCTTGCTTAATTCCCCCAAATCTCAATGGGGGGCAGGCAGAGATACTTTGTTCAACCAAGAAAGTTTAGTTTCTTAACATAGAAAAATAAAGTATTTCTTATGTCCTAGCCGATGGGTTCAGGGCAGCTCTCTTTGGAGGTTCACTACTGAGAAATTAAAGACTCTTTTCATCTTTTGATGCTGCCTTCTTAAGCACACAGTCTCTTAAGTCACTGAGAAAAAGGAAGAGACTATGTGGGCCACTGGGCATGAGCTATTATGAAGTGAACTTGAATGTGTAGACATCTTTCCATCGGCCAAACCCTAATCTCATTCCTTCACCTGAACTGCAAGGGAGGCTGAGAAATATTGGAAGTCACGTGGCCAGGAAAAATCAAATGGAATCAGTGGACATCTAGACCCTCTCTGCCTTGGTCCACCTTTCTGGTCACCAAATAGTCACATCATTTTTCCAGTCTCTCATGAAAAGGATTATTACTTTCCAAGGGAGACAACTAAAAATTCTTTTAGTGATTGGATTCCATTCAAGCTCGTGATCTCTGGTCATTCATTGTCCTCATCTAATGATGATGATGGTGAATCACCTATATTTTGCAACCAGCCCTCAACATACATGTATACCCAATGGGCAGGAGGGGAGTAAGAAAAGGGATATCACAATAAACACTCATGTTTGGAGGAAGAAGGACTCAGATGCACATGGAAGTCAGTGATGAAATTGTGTTGGACAGACATTATCAAGACTCCCTAACCCAGAAGTCAGAGAGGATCTTTGAACTGGCTTTGACCCTGCTCCCTGGGAGGCACCCCTTGTCCATGAGAAGTTCTCTCTAGCCTATGGATGTGCCTCCTGGAAAGTTCCTTCATTTCTGTTATGCTCTTTGTCCACGTTTGAAGTGAGGATTGAAATATGTATAATCTTAATAGATTTTTTCCTGTTTGGAGAAAATTATGAGGCCAAGTGTTGTTTTAAGTCTTGAGTATTTCAAGGCTTATTCTTCTGGAATCATGGTATTTTAGTACAGTCCTTTGAAATCCTCATAGGGTCCTGATCTGTTTGCCTCCTGATCGTGAGTAGGGAAGTTTTTTTCTCAGAGGCCCTTGATTTCCAGTTCTCCATGCCACTCTCTCAAGATGGCCTTACCTTGAAAACTAGGCAGAAGGACCACATCCTTAATCTGATCTTTGTCAAGAGATATTTTGTTCAACTGAGAGGGTCCATTAGGTGTCATCTTGGAATGTCCTATTAGCCTTGGGTCACTTTGTTCAAATGTGATTTTTCGTCAGACCTTTGTTACTCAACACTCACCTCAATGTCAAGTTCACCAGTTAGGGTTTAGAAGCAGCTGATTCCAGTAACTGGGTCTGATAAACCCTGAAATTTCTGGATTCTCTCTACGTCTGGTCAGACCTGCTTTCACACCAGCTGGTTAGTTCCTGAGCTCGTGTTTCTCCTGTAACACCTTGCTGAATGTATACAATAATCATCAACATACATTATTGAATTTGCTTTTCGGTCTATTTTGAGTGTTGCCAGCCCAGCAGGCCCACTGTCTGCCTCTCAAATTAGTTCAAACAGGTTTGCCAAGAGTTTTGCCCAAACATCATGCAGATCAATGGCTTTCTACCTTTGAAATCAGTTTCCTCGTTCCCCATTGCCCCAACTTTAAACAAACACCACGTATTTTAGGTTTTTGTTGTAGTAGCACAGGTGTTGGCTACCAATTTCTGCACTTGGATTGTTAGAAAAATTGGGGTGCAGTCAGGAAAACAGAAGTTGGTAATTTCAACAGAGAATCGAATATTACAAATTATTTAATCTGTTATTGGAAGACTGAGAAAGTCCAAAAGGTGTATGACGTTAGTAACTGCAAGAAGCAACAATCTCCTATCCAGAGGGGTACCCAGGGAGGAAGCTAGCGTAACTTGAACCTGAAAGGCTCCTCACAGCTGCACCCCAGCTCTGGGGGTTTGTTAGAAGATGCACCTTAGTCCCTGTTACGAGGAATAAAGTGTCGCCTTTGGAATAAAGTAGAGAAAGACAAGAAATGAGCAGGGTTTCATTGACCAAAGTGAACGGAGACTCACATGTATCTGAAAATAGTTACATAAGTATGAAGACATGTTGGTTTATTTTTTGTTTTCTGCACTAGGATATAAGATGAAAAGGGAATATCCGTCCTGTTTACTGCCGTCTCCCTGGTGTTTGGAACATAATAGGGACTTAATAAAATTTGTAGACTGGATAAACAGCTTGAGCAAAGAGCACGAACTGAGTGAAAGGGAGGTTGTTTTTTTGTTTATAAAATTCTATCTAGTACAATATCTCCTATTAAATCCCTTCTTATCAGAAATACCTTATGCCTTAAAATATGGAAGAACCCATTGTAAAGATCAATTAATTCTGAGATGGTTTCTGTGACAGAAATACATAGTTAAATTTTGGAAACTGAAATCGTGATTATACAAAGTACATTCTGTTGTAATAAGGTTCTCCTTTGGTAAGGATTTAAAATATCACAGGTGGTTTCCCCCGTGCACGAGACAATGACATGTAAAAGGGTCCTTACTGAGAAAACACATTTACCGAGGAATACCTGCCGGAATCATAGTCCTCGTTCTCTCCCCAGTTATTTCCTTAGTCTATTTTCAGTCTTACCAGGCTGAAGGAAGTCACCCATCTGCCTACAGCAGAAGGACTCGTATCACCCCACAAACATAACCTCTCTTAGAAACCAAATAAAAGGTAAACAGAAAGTGGAGTCTGGGGGTATTAAATTTCTCATTAAACCTGTTGACTCATTTTCAACAGGCTCACTGATTTCTTTCCATCCCTGAGCAAGTGGGCCGCTGGATCCTTGTGCAATGGCCTTTGTACATTCTGAAAATAAATCGTCAGGGCACATAGAGTTGGCAGGGTTTTTTTAACCTCATTTTCTTCCCTCCTTTTGGTTCTTTCCATTTGATCATTTATCAGTTACTGTTTTTAATCACTATTACAAAGCCTACTTTACTAGGTCTTGCCAAAGGCAATAGTGACTGAAATCTAAATTTTTATTAGAATAACTATAAAAAGTAAGTGAGGGATCTTGAATAAAAGACATTATGCCTTTCAAGAGCTTTGGTTTTTGTAAGAAAGTAAATCATTAACAATATATCCCCATGGTTGTTATGGAAACATGGAACTGAAGAATGCAGAAAGGGAGACTGGTGCTTCAAACATCATACCACGAGGAAAAATTACATGCACTGA